GAAAGCTCATCGCGCGGAAAAGGCCGAGGCAAAGGCAAAGGTCCGGTGTCTAGGACAACGCAGCACAAGGCTATGGTTTCACGCTTCACTCCAAAGGTTGCAGAGGTCCAGAAGACGTCTAGATCTTTCTTCGTTGTTGATTCAGCGGCCACCCACCACATGTGCAACGATAAGAAACTGTTTGTGTCTTTTACACCGCAGGAAGGTGCGATTCACCAGGCGGATGACCACACTATTCCCAGTAAAGGCTACGGAACTGTTGTTCTTCACAGTTTGGACTTATCGATACAGAATGTGCTTTACGTGCCAGACGCCAAACATAATCTGCTCAGCGTTGGACAGCTGAATGAGCGGAACATTGACGTTTCCTTCAAGAACAAGAAGTGCATCATCACAAAGAAAAATGATTATGTATTGCATGCAGAATATGTTGATCGTTTGTTTGTTTTGTATTATGATGATGTGGTGCAGGATGACACTTGTTGCATTGCAGGTTCTAACAAAAGTTTGCATGCAGAATGTATTCACGATTTTCATCGAAAATTTGGTCATTTGCATTTTGAGGCAGTATCTAAAATGCCTGCCTTGGTTGAAGGTATGACTATTAAACCCTGCAGGTACCACATGAAGTGCAAAGCATGCGCAGCAAACAAGGTGAAAATGGCTGCGAAAGGTAAGGTGTCTAGTAGGAAAGCTACAGAACCATACCAGGTTGTTCATGCTGATTTGGTTGGACCACTAGCGCCCTCTTTGGGTGGAAATAGATACTTCATGGTTCTCATTGATGCATTTTCTAGATATATTTTTGTGTACAATCTCAAGCAGAAATCGGAGGCTTTTCCTAGGTTCAAGGAATTCTGTGCTTGGTTGGAAAATGTGCATGGTAAGAAGATAAAGACTCTTTTCAGTGATCGCGGGGGGGAATTCACTTCTCAGCAGTTTGAAGCTTTTCTGACTGAGAAAGGAATTCAACACGATTTGTCTAGTCCTCGCTCGCCATGGCAGAATGGACTTGCGGAACGGGCAAATCAGACATTGCTTCAAGGTTTAAAAACCTTGCTGCATGATGCCAATCTTCCAGAGAGTTATTGGGCCGAATCTCTCTCGTGTTTTGTTTACAGTTACAATCGCAGGTTATCTTCAGCGATTGGTTGTACCTCTATGAGAAGATGTTTGGCAAGAAGCCATACATCAAACACATGAAGATTTTTGGTTCTGACATGTGGGTTCGCTCACCACAAAACTCCAAGTTAGACAAGCGTGGATTGCATGGTATCTTTCTAGGTTATCAGAAAGGGTCTTACAGAATAATGATGACTGACTCTAAGACAATTAAGCTCACGAGAAGTGTTGAGTACAATGCAAAGTGGGGAGAGAATGTGGGAATTTTCCAATGTTATCCTGATGACGGTGATGAGACTGAGGATAGTCAAAGCAACCACAACAGCCCACACCCACTGATGAAGGTTCTGAGTCTGAATCTGAAACTGAATCGGGTGATTCAGAGGATTTCAAGAGTGCGAAAGCCTCTATGCGACCCTCTGAAAGCTCTGATCAAGAATTGGAGGAACCATTGTTCACAATAGGTCGTTTTTCTCCTAAGAAGGAAGAGGAGAGTGTTGAAGACTTAAGGCTAATTCGTAGGTCACAGAGAGCCACCAAAGGCAAACCTCCAAAGAGATTTGCTGATGAGTTTGCTACGATAGCAGTAACAGCTGTTAAAAGCTCCAAGAAGGTATTTGAACCTTCAAGTTTCCAAGAAATCCAGGGTTTGGATTCAAAGGAAGCTGAGCCATGGTTAAATGCCATGAAGGCTGAGCTTGATTCCTTAGAAAGGAACAAAACATGGGAGCTAGTTCCAGTAGTTCCAGGAATGAAACTGCTTGGAAGCAAATGGGTCTTCAAAGCGAAGACAGATCAAAATGGCAAGATAGTCAGACACAAAGCCAGATTGGTAGCCAGAGGTTTTGCACAGGTACCAGGTGAAGACTATCACGAGACCTATTCACCCACAGTGAGATATGAAAGCATTAGGCTTATGCTTAAGCTAGCTGCAGAAGAAAATCTACACATTAGTCACCATGATATTAATACAGCTTTTCTGTACGGATCTCTAGATGAATCACTTTATATGCTTCCACCTGATGGCGTACAGGTAAAACAGGGATTTGTTTGTGCTCTGAAGAAATCCCTTTATGGTCTCAAACAAAGTGCACGGTGTTGGCACACAAACTCACTGAAGTATTGTTTTCTAGGTTTTCAGCAAGGGAAAGCTGATCCATGTGTATTTGTCAAAGAGGAGGGGCAAAAGAAACTGTACTGTTTGTTTTATGTTGATGATTTATTATTCTTTTGGAAAGATGTCGCAATGTACAATAGCGCCCTAGCTCAACTGAAAGAGCACTTTGACATGAAAGATCTTGGTGAGGTAAACAACTACCTATCTCTGGAAATAGAGAGAGATCAAGATGGTAACATTCTAGTACACCAGTCACGGAAAATTGCTGATGTGTTAAGCAAACTAAATCTGATGGATGCTAACCCTGTAGACACACCGATGACAACAGGTTATCAGGTAGATGACACTGAAGAAGCATTTTCTGACACTACACTGTACAGGAGTGTGCTAGGCAAGCTAAACTTCATTGCCAGATGTTCAAGACCAGACATTGCTGTTAGCTGTAATTTGCTAAGCAGACAAGTCAACAATCCTAGTGTCAAGGATTGGAAAGCTCTGAAACGCATAGCGCGGTATTTGAAAGGCACTATGCATTACAGACTGAGATTTAACAATCAGAAGTCTGGTGGTCTTGAGATATTTGCAGATGCAAGTTTTGGAAGTGACGCTACAGACAGGAAAGGTACGTCTGGAGTTTGCTATATGTACAATCAGAGTCTGTTTGATTGGTCATGCAAGAAGCAAACAACAGTTAGCTTAAGTACTTGTGAAGCCGAACTGAATGCACTGTCTTATTCACTTAAGGATTGTGAATGGTTAGTACAATTGTGCAAAGATATGAAAATTCCTGTCAAATGTCCAATCCAGGTTTACCAGGACAACAAAGCATGTTTGGCTTTGCTGAAGTCTGAAGGTTGTAAGCAAAGCACAAAGCACTTGCAATTAAAGTTGCAGCATGCTAGGGAATGTATTCAGAAGGGACTCGTAACGGTGTCCTATATGCCAGGTAATGAAATTCCTGCTGATGTATTGTCCAAGATTGTATCAAGGGATCAACACTGTACCTATGTGCAGAAGTTGGGTTTGTACTGATATTGTACAAACACGCTGCCCAGTGATGTTCACAGAAAGGGGAGGATGTTGGTTTCTGCTTTCCTTCACTGTGCAGCTCTGCTTGTCACGAGACAGGTGTTTACATTCCACAGTCTGTACTGTTGGAGTTTCTCACGGGAAAGGGAGGCTGGATGTGACGTACACTGGTTTCCTGTTTTTCACTGTGTGATTCTCTCCGAGCTGTCGAGGAGAGAGGATGCATTTTCTGCTCCGGCAGAGGCAAGATGTCTTTCTGTAATATACCAGCTTTGAACTGTAAATAAAGCAATATAGAGTATGCAGCACGTATTCCTCATCCTTCCGCTGGGCACGACAGACTCTGCTTTAAATCAACACTGGGTACTTTGCACTTTGCACTACTTGCACTTTGACGTGCTTTCAAACTGCTAGGTTGGCAGGAGCTGGGACCGAGCAATGGGAGCTCACCCCGTCGCGGGGATTCAAACTGCTGATCTTCCGATCGGCAAGCCCTAGGCTCAGTGGTTTAGACCACAGCACCACCCGCATCCCTTATCAACATTTACAACTGCCTATTATTCCATACTCTATATTTTATGTCAATCCAAATTATCCATGGTATCTGTTACATTACAAGTGAGATTAAAACTCTGCTGATGTTTCCATCTGCTTGCAATGGTCTTCTAGATACATTATAATTTTTTCCCATTCTTTTTTAAAGTTTTTGTCCTCTTGGTTCCTGAATTTTCCAGTCAGCTTTTCCATTTCAGCATAGTCCATCAGCTTAGCTTGCCATTCCTCTCTGGTAGGGACTTTGTCTTCCTTCCGTCCGAGTTGTTACAGTCATCTAAAAACGAGCAGAGATGACTTGTGCTGAACCTCTATTGGCAAGAAGTTCTGCCACACAAAAAAGTTGGCCCCTGGTAAAACCCAGCCGAAGCTCAGGGGCATGTGGGAGCATTTAAAGTACCCCATCATGAGACCTCAGCAACTGAGGAATGGGGCTAAACCTGACTCTGCTCAAGTGCCAAGAGCAGGAGATATTAATGCTGCTGTGTCACAAAATCTTGGTGCCCCTGCTGTAGTGCAGAGGTATCACTCTGGTGGGGTAGGAAGGTAGCAATGCCTGCAGTATCTTGGCAATTCTGCACCAGTTAATAAGACCAGGGCTGAGGGTGGGGGGGAATGGATTGAGCCCCAATGGCTGTGCCCCATTTGTCAGGCATAGGACTGCACTTCACCAGCAAATGAAACTGGTGATTTTAATTTTAATTGAATCGTGGTGCTTGCTCACTGTGGACAACTGACTGTGCAATCTCTGCATGTATACTTGGAAGTATGTTTCTTTTAGTTCAGCTGGGCTCATAGGATTGCAGCTTTGGCCTCAAAGAAACTCACTTCCGTCAAGCTATATCTTCATGCCAAATATCTCTATTAGGGAAAGGCAACTGCAAGAATCCCTTGGATATCTGTAGCGCCAATTCAGCTGGAGGCACTTGGCAGTAACTCTTGTGAATCCACTATGGGTTTTCCTTTTAGCTTTGATTTATTGGATAATTTAAGCGCTTTTGTCAGCTGACATCTAAAGTACCTGAGGTAACCTTATCTGTTCCTATTGCCTCTGTCTCCAGATAGCGAGGAGCAGGAGTGGGAGTGCCTCTTTTATCATGTGTGTTAGGAGGCAAAAGTGCGGATCAGCTTGATAGATTCTCTCATTCTGGCTCAAAGCAATTCTTAAATGTGATGTGGATGTTTTATAGCTCAGTGCTAGAACATCTGCTTTGCATGCAGAAAGTCCCAGGATCAGTCCCCGGTGGGAGAGACTCCCTGCCTGAATCCTGGAGAGCAGCTGCCACTCAGTGTAGACAGATTGTGAGCTGGATGGACCAAAGCTAAGCTCCTGTATTCAATGTCAAGTGTCCCCTGTTCTATAGGTAGGGTTGATTAGCTGGTGGGCATTGTATTTTTTCTTCTCCTCTCTTTGTGCTTTTAAAATAGTTTTAAGTTCTTTTTTAATTCAGTGCTGTTTTAAATACCGTAACTTATTTAGTTGTATTTTTTTTTTTTTTAAATGTATATAAACGATTGGTGTGAGGTTGTTGTTTTTTAGCTGTATCTGTTTTTAATTTGTGTTGTGAGCCACCTTGGGTCCTGCACGGGTATAAATAACGTCTCCAGCTTATTAGTTTGTTCTTGTATTTCTGCCTAGCATATTAAATACTAATTTTCCTACTTTCTAATAACATTTATCTTCCAAATTTCCCCAACTTTCCAAATCAGAGAGTTACTATTTTCTGTTTGTTCTTGGAGCTGCAAATCTGCAAGTAAGGGGTTTTGGAGTTCACATACTACATCAATGCCATTCAGGTGATACCACTCAATGCCCCAACTGTATTATTATTTTTAAAGAAACTATGTAGTGCCTTCTGTTATTGCTGTCACTTGCAGTATATACAATTTGCCTCGTGTAGCTGGCAGAATAAACAAGTGACCGTGATTAGAGAGAGTTAGAGTGATTAGAGAGAGCTGCAGTTATTAGTTTAAACAAACAAAAAAACAAACAAATTTGAAGGAATGGTTTCACTTTAATTGAAGTGGAATTTACAGTGATGATGGCATGATAAGGGGCTTATATGAACAACAGGCTGCCCTAAGTCTGCTTTCCCCTTCACTCCCATTACAGGAGAAATTTATTGTGGTTGGCTGCCAAATAAAAATTTTAAAAATTGCCCTGGCAAGCATAACCAGAAATACTGTTTACTGTGTGTATGATATAGTTACAACAAGAGACACAACAATGGCATGCATACTGTTCATGCAGTTTTGGGGGATTAGAACATTTTAGTTCTTTAGAAATGCTCCCCTCCCTTCCCTTCTCCAAGGACTCTTTTACTTTTTCTGTTAAAGTGTGTACATTCCACCTCTCCAACACATATTTCATGTTTATTTTCAAGAAGCAAATTCCCCTGCGTTGTTGCTCCTCTCACCCCCAAAGCAAATGTTGTGGGACACTGCAATGACATATGCTCCAACTTTTTCTGTCCTAAATCTGGGACACACCTGCCTGTTAAAGCAGCTGTGCAAAATAGGAAATTTAATTGAAAGGATTATATCCTGAAGAGTGGGATATAAATAATTGTAATTTTAAAAAGACATACAGACGACTTATATCATGGTTGTAATATAATCATGAGATGATATCCCCTTGTATCATCAGAGGCACTCACACTTGGCACCAGGAAAGCTCACCTGGGTCGTATAGATTTATTTGCAAAGCTCGTAATACATGCTTCTGTTCTGAATCCTATGTTGCATTGCAGGGGGCTGGACTTAATGACCATCAGGGTCCCTTCCAACTCTACGATTCTAACTTACGAAATTCTTTATCACAAAAGCAGCTTTTAAAAAAAAAATCAGGCAAATTTGAAGAGAATAGGTCTAGTATCAGTAGCTATAGCCATAGCAGTTAAATCAAGCCTCACATTCTGCTTGTGAGCTTCAATGGGGCATCTTGCCAGCCACTGATGGAAATAATATGGTGGACTAGATAGACCTTGATTTCATCCACCAAGGTAATAGTTAAACCAGACTTCCCCCAACCCCATATGTTTTGGACTCCAATTCCCATCAGCCCTAGTTAACATGGCCAGTGGTCATGGATAATGGGTACTGTAGTCCAGCAACATCCAGAGGGCATCGGGTTGGGGGTGGCTGATTGATGCTCATAAGCTGAAGGCCAATGCAACAGGCCAAATCTAAATAAAGATCTGATTTGTTTTGGCAATTGTTTAAAAGATGTGACCGAATTGTGCAACAGCTTGGGAACTAATTGAGGAAGGATAGCTGAGGGGATGTTATAAATAACAATAAGCAAATAAATCAAATAAACACGGTCTTTCTCTCTTAGATGGTTTGTGTTTTCGTAGCTCATGTTCCTGTCCCTCTTTCGGCAACAGGAGCTCAGTTCTCCACATCACGCCCCCTTGCTATGTTCTGACACATTGTTGTGAAGAGAGCTCTTCCGCTTCCCTTCTAGTTACCCTGAGTGTGTCTCTAATGCTGGGCTGGTTTCTGTGATGGGTGAGAGTGCCTATCAGTTTTGTCACTCAGGTGAGCACGATTCCAGTGGGGAAGGAGAGAATTCTGATGTGTGCCACCTTTGGAATAAGTTCTTTATTTTATTTTACTTCGTAGCCTTTTTGTTTCTGAGTTGCACTTGGCATCAGTGAGAGTGATGATCTGAACCTCTCTCTTCAAATGGAGAATTTGGCCCCATGAGCAGATGGCAGAGTCCATGTGGAACTGAAAACAAACCACGCCAGTGACACACTCACACACTCATCCCTTAGCTTCGATGTCTGGGTTTCCTCCCTCCCGTTATCTAACATTTTTTGCACTCCGCATGTGTTAAGTGTTCAGCGGCTCCACTTTAATATTATCCATTGTGACAGTTCTAGGCCGGTTTTCTAAAATGATTGACCTGACTGAGACACAACTGGATCCCCTCACAGAGCTTTTCTTTTCCCCTCAGCAGGAAAAGATGGGGGAACATGAGGAGGGAGAGAAGCTCAGGCAGAATCTGTGTAAATCATTAATGCCTTTTGTTCTGGATGGATTCTTGAGATCTTATAAGAATACAGTCACACATACAGTCAGGGTGGAGGGAATAAGAAGGGAGAGAGCTGCATTTCAAAATGAGAGCTTTCCAGCGACTGAGGTAAAAATCATTTTACTGCCTGGGAAAGGGAACCTATCCGTTTATCGTAATGAGGATCGGAAAAGAAGAGCCTTTTGAGATGCTGGCAAAAGGGAACTGAAATAGCACAATCTGAAGTGCTGCATTGGGAACAAAGCAAAGCGAGAGTAAGGCTTCTGTCAAAGCACTGGAAGGACCAGTGACAGCTCTTTCCTGAGGGCAAATGGGGTGCTGCCCCACCAAACTCAGTCTGCTCTCATCTCTCCCCCACAGGTCTGTCTTCTTACTTTCAATCAATCCAAGGGGTTACGCTGCCTGCCAGATTCCTCCTTTGTTTCAGGCTGTGTACATGCTGTACCTTTAAAGCACATTCGAAGCATGTTCTTTCCCTCAAAGCATGCTGTAGTTTGTTAAGGGTTGCTGGGAATTATAACTCTGTGAGGGGCAAACTACAGTCCCCAGAATTCTTTGAGGTCCAGCTCCTAGCGCCTTCTGGCAGTTCCCTCATTGCGAGAAGTGAGGTTACAAGGAACCAGGCAGAGGGCCTTCTCGGTAGTGGCACCTGCCCTGTGGAACGCCCTCCCACCAGATGTCAAGCAAATAAACAACTATCCTATTTTTAGAAGACATCTGAAGGCAGCCCTGTTTAGGGAAGTTTTTAATGTTTGAAGTTTTATTCTGTTTTTAAGGTTCTGTTGAAAGCTGCCCAGAGTGGCTGGGGAAACCCAGCCAGATGGACAGGGTAGAAATAATATATTATTATTATTATTATTATTATTATTATTATTATTATTATTAGGAAATGTACTTTGAATCTGCTTTAGAGGTCTAGTATTTACATAACTTCATTGCCACCCTTGCAGAAATCAGTAGAGAGGATGGAGATAAAATTAGATGGCTGTATCACTGTCTGTGGTTATGTGCCTACTGTTTGTCTCCCTGCCTTCTGCCTTACCAGTTCCAATGGGCAGAGCCAGCACAAAATGCAGGGAGTGTTCCTTCTCTCCCCCCGTGCCTTTCACCAACACAGGCCCTCCAAGTGTCCCTGTTTTCCAGGGATGTCCTTGACTTAGAGAAGCCATCCTGGTTTCTGATTTGACCCCGGAATGTACTGCTTTTCCTTAGGATGTCTTTATTTTTACCGGAGAAATGCTGGAGGGTATGCCAACAATGAAAGGACAAGTTGATATATATAACAGACTCATTCTAATACTTGACCCATTCACCAATAAAAAAGAAAAGGAATCAGCCTCGTTCCGGCCAGCCGCACCTCAGAGGAGCCACCTTTGACATTGGTATTGCTCAGGCATCAGTCATAAACCATCTCTGGAGATGCCTAGGATTGTCTACGTGCAAAACAGATTCTCTGCCACTGAGCTATAACCCTTCCCACTGACATAAGGCATGGCAATTTAAAAGCTTGATACAGAACCAGCCCCTCCACTTTTTTCACATTAATTTTAAGTTGTGATTATCATGTACATCACTTCTTTAAAAAATAAAGTAACAGAAGCAAATTCTGAGCACAGCAGCTCCTGCCAGACGTTTGCCCCACTTTCATCACTGCCAAGAGGTGGCTGGTGCTGTGTGATGAAGGCTTCAGGGCCTAATTATGAAGTGGAGACATTTTATATATATATATATATATATATATATATATATATGCGCAGTTCAGAGAAGTTATGGAAAGGAGGGATGCTGCTGCTGTTTATTGGAGATGCAGATAGGGTTGGGAGACAATGATGGTTTATTGTCTACGGTCCTGTGGGAACCAAGCCTAGATGAAAAGCAAGACCTTTGAATTTAGGAAGAGAGGAAACTGTCTGAGTCAGACCCATTGTCTACACAATGGACAATGCAACTCTCCGGGGTGTCAGACAAAGGACAGCCCTGTGGCCTTGTAGCCTTATTAGACTTTACCGATTGGTGGGGTCTGCGTTGCTCCCAGACGGGAGGAAGGAAGTCAAATGACACCGAGGTTTGGTTCAGAGAAAGAGTTTATTCTGCTCTCCAGATAGCAGAAGGCACTGCGTGAATCGGTTCACCGCAAACACAAAAGCAAGAGAAATTGCATACAGTATATATATCCTCCAGGCACCCTCTCCCCCCCTTCCCCAGGAATCCAC